GTAATTTATGAAAATCAGATGCACATTTATCATAGGAGGCTACATGTTCTAGTCAAGCTCCATTTAATTAGAAGAAGTTAGGTATCTTGAACATTTTAACAACAGCTTGAAAGACAAAATGACATTCTTAATAATGATAAAAATATTTCATTTTTCTAGTCATTCACACAATACGTTCATGAATGTGGAAGAAAAGATTCAGGAAAGTTAAGTAATTTTTCCTAGTCCAATACATAAAGCGAGTGGCAGAGAACAGGTTAGAACTCAGAAAAATCTGTGGTATTTTATATCTGCTTGTAAAGACAAACTCCTCCAAAGCTGATTACATACACATAGCTACTGCTAAATTATTACAGTTAGTTCTCTTATTCCAAGATTAGAGTTCGTTAACCTGATTACTTGTCAAATCCAAATTACAAATATGTTCTTGACAGTTAGGATCTTGGGAAAGGGATGGCAGATAGAAAACATTTTTTTGTTGTTCGTTTTCAGGTTTTTGTTGAGATAGAGTCTCACTTCTGTTGCCTGGGCTAGACTACAGTGGTGTCATAGCTCATTGCAACCTTGAACTCCTGGGCTCAAGCAATCCTCCCGCCTCAGCCTCCTAAAGTGCTAAGATTACAGGCATGAGCTACCACACCTGGCCACCTTTACACTTTCCAGTACATTGGTTAGTTGGTTATAACACATCTAAAACAACAGAACTCTAGTCAATGACGGAAACACCAAAGATATTGTAAATAAGAGATGAACGACCAGAGAAAGGATAATGTACTTAAGCATTGGCTTATTTGGGAAATGTGACAGATGACATTTAATGTTAATGTTGACATGTTAATGCTTGAAGAAACTGTAGTTAAGGGGGAGGATAAAGAGGCAGGCAGAGATGATAAAGATTCTGAAAGGGATTTGTAATAACTGTCCATGCTTTGAGAGATAGGTTAAAGAAATCATCTAAAGTGGAATAACTTAAACTGCAGGCAGTGAAAGGAAATGTTTATGAGATGAATGTCCCCAAAAAGAAAGGGGATGGCTGAAGGGCTAGTTAGCACTGAAGTGACTAGGGAGCAGAGAGTAAGGCAGCCTGCAACTTGTAACATTTGGTTGGTTCCTACCCTTTAAAGCCTTTAATGCTGAATACTAGTGGAGCTAATGAAAAGCTAAAAGCATTGTCTGAAATTATTCCTTAAGTGATGCAGTTGCACTGTCCATGATAGACCTTCATATAAGACCACACAACCTTTTGGCCAAAACAAAGGTGGACAAGATGTGGTCACAAAATCTCATTAAAGAATGCCAGTTATATTTGACTACTGACAGGCAGCTCAGAGCTCTGTATAAAGTGCTATTCATATTGAGATATTTCAGAATAAAAAGGTTTTCTAATCAATTGCATATCTAAATAAGAAAAATGAAAGAAGACATCGACATACCCTGTACTTGGTATTTCTGCTGAGCATCTTTCTTAAGCCTGAACAACTCTGTGAAAAATATATCCACGTTTTACAGGTGAAGAAACTGAGGTTTACAGATACATAACTTGTCAAAGTTTGCATAGGTAGTAAATGAGTGTGTGGAATTCAAACCGAGTTCTGACTTCAAAATCCATAAATGTCTCACTGAACCACTAGTCCTTAAACCCTTGGGAGTCATGGACTTGTGTGAAAATCTGATAAAACCATGTCACCTTTCTTTTGAGAAATGCATGTAGTAGTTTTGGCATTTCATAGGGCCTAGACCTGAAGCTCTGGGTCCATGATGCCAGGGTTAAGATCCCCTGCATCAGACTATAGTGCATTAAGTAGCATTTATTTATCTACTTTTTAAACTTTAAACAAGAAATTACAATTTTAGCTGGACACAGTGGCTCATGCCTGTAATCCCAGCACTTTGGGAGGCTAAGGTGGGAGGATTTAGGCCAGGAGTTAGAGACCAGCCTGGGCAACACAGTGAGACCCTGGCTCTACAAAATATTTAAAAACTAGCTGGGTGTGGTATTCTGCCGGTAGTCTCAGCTACTTGAGAGTCTGAGGGAGGAGGATCACTTGAGCTCAGGAATTTGAGGTGACAGTGAGCTATGATCACACCACGGAACTCCAGCCTAGGCAACAGCAAGATCCTGTCTCTAAAAAAAAAAATTATAATGTAGTTTAGAAGGATTACAAAATTATTTCAACATACCTTCCTTTAAAATTTGACTAATTTTTTTGCCTCTGGCAATGGGATCAGAATAAAAGCAGCAATTTCTTTTTTATTTGTAATGTAGCAATGTGTCTTAGAATAGTTAGATCTCAAATAAACATTACAAATAAAGTTCTGAAATTAGTTAATCTACATTTTAAAATAAATTAGCCCAGAGCTGGCCACGGTGGCTTCAGGAGTTTGAGGCTACTGTGAACTATGATTGTGCCATGGCACTCCAGCCTGGGCACCAGTGAGACCATGTCTCTTATTAAAAAAAAAAAGAAACAATTAGCCCAGCGGCATAAAATTAAATCCTAGGCTCCAGATAAAAGTTTCAGCAAATCCCCCCATTATCTGTTAGCACCTGAAAAATATCAGCTGCTATACAGAAATTATTTGTGCATTATTCACAGGGAGAAAGAAAACAAGCAGCCATAGTGCCCATTTTTACTTTCTTTGACCTCAACTTACCCTCTATGATCCTGAATAAAATGGTGGTAGGTAGTAACCTTGCACTAAAGTTGGGAACTACCTAATATATTCTCTCTAAAGGAATGATCACCGATGTCTAAAATTAAAACATCTGCTTTATTTATTAATAATCGTACCCTAAGCTATCTTAAATGATCCAAGAAACAGTTCTATTAAGACAGAAGTAAACCCTAGAATAAAGATATTCCCAGAGGACAATTTTCCAGGATACCCAGCCAATCAATTTCCACCCAGAGTCATTAACTCATTTTCACTGAAGCCTACAGTCATTTCTTTTCCTAATTCTATTCTCTCATTTCTCTCTAAACATCATCTTAGTTAAGCATTTATCTGTCGAAGACTTCTCTTTGGAAACAGCACAGGCATGGTAGTCAGGGAGAGGACTCAAGCCCAGCCGCTCCTAGCTCCAAAGTTTAATGGCTGCGTACCCGTGTAACTTAGCCTCTCCACATCTCAGTTTCCTCATCTGCAACACTATTTACCTTTTAAGGGTGTTGTGATGATTAAATAGATGAGTGAGTAACTTAAAGTTTATAGAGCAGTGCCAAGTACATAGTAAATGCTCAAAAGAGTTTGAGCTATTATCATTCCAGTTTTTCCCTCAAACTAAATAGCATCCTCCTAAGCAGTCTAGGGATTACAATGGAAAACCAAGTCAAAGGTAAATCAAAGGATCAAATAGTTCAGGAATATTGCCTTATTAACTTTTTACTAAGAATGATTTATGAATACAGAAGAAAGACACTATAATAAATTCCCAGTTATTATTTAAAATGACTGCATTTATGTGTGTGAACCCAAATATTTAGAAAACATTAAAAATTACTATTAGTATTTGTTTTACTTGTTCAGACTAAGCTTTAAATTTTCAATAGTGCCACATAATTTTATAACTAAATTTTATTAAAACTGAATACTTCAAAGAGTTGTAGTTGTGAAATAAATAAATTTTGCTATGATTAATAGAGAAAATCTATTCAGAAAGTACAATATACATGAATGTATGGTACTTGTCCAAATATTACCAGCATAGAAATTATTGTGTGAAGTTGTTTCTTACATACAGGATCTAAAATGCAAAGAAAAATGGAATTTGTATTCAAAACAAATAGAAGCAACATTAGCTTCTATATACTGAAAATATGAGACAGATTTTTTCTTAAGCACTCTAGATATAAATATTAACTGTATGAGTTGAGAACTTGTAAATTTCAATAATATAATTCAACAAAGTATACAAGTAGAGCTCTATAAATATATCCCCTATAATAATCATATGCAAAACCATTTTATCACAAATACTACCAAAACCCTTTGAAAAACAAAACTACAAACACATTCTAAAAGAAATTGTTAGTTATAATAATAACTACAAATGCAATAAATATCAACAAAGTTATTTGGCTTTAAAAAATGAAGGGCAGTGTAATGTAAAATTTAAATATAGCAAAGTTGCTTTTTGAAGATGTAGTCTTGAGTATCTTAATACAAGGTACTAAACACTTTAAAAAATAATAAGAATTATTCTATATAATTTAAAGGTGAGCTAGAACTCTAAAAATAAAAAATTAAGCAGCAGATGAAAAGTAGGTATGTAGAAATAATGGTATAAAATATGACTTTATATAAAATGTATCACTTTTCAAATGGTAAGGCTTATTATGAATATTTTTGGATTGTGAGTGTTGCACATCATAATTTTTAGAGAAGTAGTCTCAAACCATTCAAAATCCAATATTTCTCAAATATTTTGACTTTGTAAAGTGGACATGGTATAGGATGCAATTTTATGTCAACTTACCTATACTGTTCTACCCAATAAAATATAAACTTTGAGCTCAGTAAAGAATGTATCTTTTGAATGTTTGATCTCTATATAAATTCTGTTTTTTCAGGATGTCAGAATTTTGTAATATGAACTAATGTCCACCAGGGATTGGCTCAAGTTTAAACACAAGACATAAAAGAGACATAGATGTCAAACAGTTTAAGTCTGCACTATGCAATTATACAGTCATAATTACTTTTTACATGAAAGTGCTTTAAAGTCAAAATATTTTCATAAAAGTTAATATTAATTTTACTAATACTTAATATCCAAGTAGAATTTTTAAAATTAGTGCCATTTTACCCATTTCCTTTGAAAAGCACCCTTCTACCACAATGTAAACAAAAAATGGTCCATAAAATGGTGACATTAGACATTTCATAATTTGTGGTATGGGCCCTTAAGTTGAGACCAAATCTTGATTAATCCAAAGCTAGAGACATTTATTTCTTCCACATGCCCAAAGTAACTAATATCAATTCACATTTTCTGTAAACCTTGAAAAATTTTTATTTAACATAATGAGAGGGTTAATAACTTATATTAAAGACTACATAGGGCTCTTCTGTTGCTGTTCACCAACTGTTTTTATGATGGTAACTCCGAGATCTGGAATGTGACCGAAAATGAGACTGTTTTGCTGATTGTGCTTTACTTTCAGAATTGGTATACCCTTTGGGAGATTTACATGGGGATCTTGCTATGGAGTCAGAATGTCTTCCATGTGATCTTGATTTTGTTCCTGAGCTAGTCTGCTTTTGAGGTGAACTTGATTGTGATTTTCCTATCGACTTGGACCTCTTTTGTAAGGACTTGGACCTTGATCGTCCTCTAGAACCAGAATTCCTTCTTGGAGTTCTTGACTGCCTTGCTGAGGTAGACCGCCTTGGTAGTGATTTGGAACGAGATTTAGACTGGCTATAAGAAAATCGCCTGTGTCGAGACCTGCAAACATCCACAATGTTAGAGCATATATTTCATACAAAACAAGAGATCAGGAAACAACACTTTCAGGAACTTATATACTTTACATAACATTAGTTATGTTGTTACCAGACAAGCTAAAAGAAGTAGTTCTAATTTTATTATGTATTCTTTTCGTTCAAATGTAAGTATCAAGTTTATAATATTTGTTATACTAGAATATATGACCAAAAGATTTTTTACTTTGCTACATATATCTTGTATGGGTCAGTTCTGAAAAATGTCTTGCATATTTAGTCTGGGTTCACAACTCTTAAGAGATACAAAAATCTGAAGGGAAAAAAAGATTAAGAGAGAGAGGCCAGGCATGGTGGCTCGTGCCTGTAATCCTAGCATTCTGGGAGGCTGAGGTGGTAGGACCACTTGAGGTCAGGAATTCGAGACCAACCTGAACAAAAGTGAGACCCCGTCTCTACTAAAAATAGATAAGAAATTAATGGGCAACTAAAAATAGAAAAAATCAGCCAAGCGTGGCGGCACATGCCTGTAGTCCCAGCTACCTGGGAGGCTGAGGCAGGAGAATCACTTAAGCCCAGGAGTTTGAGGTTGCTGTAAGCTAGGCTGACACCACGGAACTCTAGCTACAGCAACAGAGCCAAACTGTCTCAAAGAAAAAGAGAGAGAGAGAGAGAGAGAGAGAGAAAAGGAAAACAATTATTTAAAGTTTATCAAATAATGCTTATAAAAACAAAAACCTAGATGCAGGACTTCTGGGTCCTGCCATGATACAGCAGCTTGTACGAGACTAATCTTCCCACAGAAAACAGCTACACAAAAAAGCTACACATTTATAAAGCAGCTGTTTGAGGCCACTGGAAAATAACTAACATAAGCAGAACATGAGGGGTTACGATCCTTGGCTCTTTTACTAAGACTATTTTCCAAAGACAGTATGGGGGAATTGAGCCCAATCAGAAAATGGCTATTTGACTAAGCTGAAGAGACAGAAGTTAGAATTCAGAGTTACCAAAATGTCTGGGACTTGAGAGATGAGGAAATTACAGACCAAGAGAAACCACTAAGATCTGCATATTAAATTCTCCTCAAAGTCACTGGCCATCTTCTAATTGTGCGTGTATGGAATGAGACTCCAAGAGGCCAGCAAAAACAGCAACTGGGAAATTCAAGAACTGAGCTGAAATTTTATCAGACACATAGTGCTGGGGAGAGAGGCTCGAGTTCAAGCCCACAAAAGGTGCCTTGGGCAACAACACAGGCTTTCAATTAACAACACAGAAGGGCCACATCCTAGAGGGTAAGGACCATGGCCTGGGAATAAATACAAAGCCAAAACAGTTCAAATTTAACAATGCCTTGAAAAAAGCCTTAATAGAATCAAGGTGATCTGCCAGTATTCTTCCTGCTAGAAGAAAACAACTTTCTTTGGAGGATGATAACATCATGCAGAGCCTCTATAATTTTTCATTCACAATGTCCAACATCCAATAAAAATAATTATGAGGTATGTGAAAAAACAGGCAAAAATGACTAAAAACCAGAGAAAACTATAAATGAAACATTCCCAAAGTGATTTGAATATTGGTGTTATCAAACAGGAATTTAAAAAATTACTATGAGTAATATAGTCAAGAAAATAAGAGGAAAAGATAAAACATGAAAAGATGGAGAATTTCAATGGAACACTAAAATCTACAAAAAGAAAAAATGGACATTGAGAACTGCAAATAAATGATATCTGAAATTAGAAAGTCATTAGATGGACTTAACAGCAATCCGGACACAGTAGAAGAAACAGTGAAAACATCCTACTGAAACACAATGAGAGAAAAGGATTTTAAGACATCCGTAACAGAGTGTATGATACATGTAGTGCATTGTCACATAGCCAAGAGGAAAGACTGAATAAGGCAGATGCAATATTTGAAGAGATAGTGGCATCAACAAAGGCATCAACTCACAACTTCAAAAAGCACAATAAACCCCAGGTAGAACAAACACAAAAAAACCTACACTGGACACATCACAGTGAAACTGTTGAAAACCAAAGTCTAAGAGAAAATCTGTAAAGCTGCCAGAGAATAAAAGATAAATCACCTTCAAAGGAACAACAATAAGATCTATGGCTAACGATGGATATCAGAAAGCAACTGAGAGTCCACTTGCTCAAGGATTCTTGGGCATGGCTGGGGGGAGCGGTGGGGGAAGAAAAAAGAAGAAAAGAGAAAGCAACTGAATGACAGTATTAAAGAAAGGAAAAGGAGGGAGGGGGAGTAAGGGCAACATACGTAACCTAAACATCTGTACCCCCATAATATGCTGAAATAAAAAAAAAAAAGAAAAGAAAGGAAAAAAAAAAATCCCTGCACACACAGAATTCTATCCCCAGCAAAAAATACCTATCATAAATGAGTATAAAAGAAAGATTTTACAATCAAACAAAAACTGAGAGAATTCACTGTCAGCAAAGGCGTATGGTAAGAAACACTAAATACAGTCTGGGCAATAGTAAGACCCTGTCTCTACAAAAAAAAACAGTAAGAAAAATTAGCTGGGCATGGTGGCGCATGCCTGTAGTCCTCCCTGCTACTCAGGAGGCTGAGGCAGGGGGATCACTTGAGCCCAGGAGTTTGAGGTTGCTGTGAGCTATGACTGTGCCACTGTACTCTAGCCTGGGTGATAGTGAGACCCTGTCTCTAAAATAAAAAAAAAAGAAATAGTAAATATTCCTTAGACTGAAGGAAAATGATTCTAGATATTAATACTGAACTAGAGGAAAGAATAAAGAACACTGGGAAAGTGTAAATATATTGATGTAGAATATATTCTGGAATAAATGCATAGTCTTTTAGAAATTATTAAATTTCATTCATGTTGTAGATAGTTTTAGACAACATGATGGGGAAAGTGTCCTTGAAAAAAATCCTAATGTAAGAAAAGGAGGCTGGGGGGCAATTTTAACATTCTTCAGGAACATTTAGGGTTCTTACATACACACTGACATAAAGTCAACAAAGATTTATAGAACGCCTAATATGAGCTAGCAACTACTGCTAAGTGCTAGGGATACAAGCATGAATAAGGCAAAAGTCCTTGTCCCTCAAAGAATTCATAGTCTAGTGCCAGTGACAAACTAGTTTTTTCCTATATCCACTGAAGGCAAAGTGAGACAACTCTTTTTAGTCCAAGGTAATATCACATGTACTACATACACTTACAGTATATATTAGGTTTATATGTATTCTGATCCATATACATACATACAAACACACATCCACCCACCAAAAATCTGATCCTTATGAATACTTTGAGAGCTAGGTAAGATTTACATTCTCTATAATACAAGTTTTAAAATGACAAAAACCTAGGTCAGGGATGATAAGCAATGGTCTTTTTAACTGGTACAAAGCAGAACAGCACTGTCTTGAAAGACGTGGTCCTTTCTATCCCTGATACTTCACGATGATTTGAAACAATCAATAGCCCCTTTTTTTGTTTTTTTTTCCAGCCAAGTATTTCCTTTCCTTTCACTAGAAGGCATAGCAATGTAAATATCCACCTTCTTTAGATTAATCAAGAGAAAAAAATGGTTAACTAAGGCTCTAAGCAGTGGCCCCCAACCTTTTTGGCACTATGGACCAGTTTCATGGAAGACAATTTTTCCACAGACTGGGGATGGGGGATGGGGTGTTGTGGGTGGGGTGTGTGTGGTGCAGAGCTCAGGCAGTGGTGCTCGCCCGTTTCCTAACAGGCACGGGCTGGTAATGGCCGAGGCCTGGGGGTTGGGGACTGCAGCTCTAATGTATTTGAAAACAACTTAAATTCTTAATGAATCCAACGGATGACTTCTTTTCTTTTTCCCTTTATAAACTAAATCTTTTTCATTAAGGCCAGTGAATTATTATTCAGTACTTTAGGATAGTGCTGCTTAGGTACAATATTACATCTACGTTGATCTTTGATTTATAGATTAAATCATTCATTTTATATATTCTACCCACATCATTTTAAACTTAGGCTAAACTACATACAGGCTGAGCATCCCTAATCTGAAAATCCGAAACTTTCTGGGCGCTGACATGACACCACAAGTGGAAAAATCCACACTTGACTTTATGTGATGGGCTGCTGCCAAAACTTTGTTTCATGTACAAAATTATTTAAAATATTATATAAAATTACCTTCAGGCTATGTATATAAGGTGTATATGAAACATAAATGAATTTTGTGTTTAGACTTGGGTCCCATCCCTAAGATACCTCATTACGTATAAGCAAATATTCCAAAATCTGAAAAAATACGAAATCTAAAACACTTCTGACTCCAAGCATTTTGGATAAGGGGTACTCAATCTGTATATGTATATCTAGATAGACATAAATAAAATTCGCATTAATTTGAACTGTTGAACATCACTCCCATACAGTATTCAGGTTCTCTATGAAGCCAGAAACAGTACAATTGGTATTAATGTTGCTTTCCTGTACACAAAGCATGTAAATTTAAAAAATGTACATATTAATGTGCTCTTGCCAGGTTTTAAGTTCTATAAATATAACTTTGTATTGGAGTGTAGAAACTATATATCACAATCTAAATCTCAAATAGCCAATCAATGGAAAAATGGCTTTCCCTTAGCCACAGGACAAACTGAATCGTTCTCCATAAGATGCAAGAGAGATTTATATTGTTACTCTACTAGAGAAGGGATAATAAAAAGGATCAGTTTCCAAAATGGCTTCAGTTTCCAAAATAGTATGGCTATTTCTAAATAGTCCTTCACCAATCTTGATAATGGTCCAATCCTGACCTGGGTTCTCTTGGCTTATAAAAGGAACTTAAAGCTTTCCCACCTTCATGCCTACCCAAGGACAGGCCAAAATCAAAGCATTTGGTTTATATCAGGGGAGAGGTACTTATCTGACATGTAAGATTTGAGGGCTCTCACCAGGCCACATGTTACAGCAATCAGGATTTTTGGGTATGAAAAAGTCATAGAACTTAGATATGGTTCTCTCTTACACTTCTCTTCCACTTGGCTAGAGGAATAGGAGCCAGGCCACTTCACAGTCTTGTTTTTAGAACTAGAGACTTGCTTACGGTAATGACTCTCTCTTTTTAGCTCTAGAATGCATACCGTATGTTAGACTTTTTATTGTTTAGGCTCTGGGAGTTGACGAATGGAGGGGCCGTGAGTGAAAGTAAACAGCACTAATGACCAGCTTTGATTTGAAGCTATGTGGGCCTATCTAGCTAAGGTGTTTTACATGTGGTCCAGGAAGGCAACCCTTTTATTACTCAGAGGGTGAGTGTACTGTTGTAAACAATGATTGTTCTCTAAGATCATTCTTTAAGAATGAACAGAATTCACCTTAAAATTCTACATGCCTATGAAAAAATTACAGCATTAAAACTCAAGATAAATACTATATATGTTTAAGAATTTAGGTATGCCAATACAATGTCAGTTGTTATTTCAATAGCTTCACCATTTAATTAGTTTCCACTGTGATTTGCTATTATTCTAATAGAAACAAACCACTGGCTAGCAAAACAGGTAACTTGCAAATATCTCTTCCCCCGCAAATTGCTATTTTTATGTCTTCTTCAATACTGCCATACTTGGAATTTATTCTTGATAATAATTTATCTTTTATAAGTAAATTGATTTATATTAACTTTAGTCAACCTCCTTTCACAAGTGGTTGTATTTCTTATGAATTTAATCACTACTAGAACTCAAGATTCCAAACTGTTGGGCCCATTTAAGAAAATTTACCTAAAATTATGCACCTTGTTTATTGAGTATATATATTTCTATATTTTCCTTTTTCTTTGGTATATATTATCTTCCCATTTAAAAAATTAAAGTTAAGTCTGTCATGAAATATATACACTGGAAGGTATCCAATAAACCCAAGTTAAGTAACAATACATGATAAATAGAGAAGAGCATTTTTTTCTACAAAAGTTGATTGTTTATGTATATAAAACAAAATGATTCAAGTGGCCTGTTTTTAAAAACTCTTAAAAATGTTTTCTAGAAAAAGTAGAAAATGAAGTTTTCAATCTTCTTGTTTTTTGTACTCACTCTTTAAGGCTATCAGAACGCCTCCTGTTTCTTCCCCATGAAGAACTCCTACTTCGAGTTCTTCTTTGGCTGGGGCTTCTTGATCTCCTATGATCACTTGGAGAACAAGGATGACGTTCTTTTGATTTCATTTGGCCTGGTGCTAGAATATAAAGAACAAGACTTACAACATAATTCATTACCTGAAAACCGCAGTAACAGCCACTTAACTAGTATCACTTTCAGAAAGAATTTTACATAAAAAACCTGCCATCGCTGAAATTCATTCTGCTGAATAAACAAGATCTAATGTTTAGTCACACTTACTTTTGCGATCACCTTGTGCAAACTGTATTTCAATTTGACGGCCACATACCCACTTTCTATTGAGGTTATAAAGAGCATCTTCAGCATCTCGAACATCTTCAAATATGACTAGCTGTTAAGGACACTTTGAACATCAGATATCAAGTAAAAGTATTTTTGAAGTATTATTTACATGTGAAATGAAATTAATAAGAAAAAAGTTCAAGTTATTAAACTCACATCTCCAATATGAATAATCAGAAAAAAACCTCTACTTTTTATTATGAAAACAAATGTCCCATTATGATTTAGAAGAGTGAATCTAAAAATAAAAAGAACATCCCTGGTAGTCTAGTGGTTAGGAAACAAAACAAAAAGAACAAAAATGTGTAACTGTACCTTTATAATGTACATAATGTATGTGTAGCTGCAGTATGCATGTGTAATTTGAAATATGTTATGGGAAAAAAAGTCCAAAATTGGCTAGCATAATAAAGTGAATTTTTTATCTGTAACTTTGAATTATAAGAAAAAAAATAATAAAATGAATTGTTTAGAACTCACTCCCTTCTTTCAGAAAGGATCCATCAGGTTTTTCACTGAATATCAGCATGCAGGAGCCTTTATTCTGAAATTAAAATTACTTTTTTCATTAAAAGGCTTTTTAATTACGACATTTAGGAGAAATCACTTATAGTAAACAAAATTGCACATATACAAGTGAGTTAAAACAAAAACTGATTTTGTCCTTTAAAAATATCTACCTTTGAACCTACCATTTTAAACATTCCTTTATGTTTTTACTACTTGGGATATAAGTATAAAAGGAACATAAAAGCAATCTGTAAACATCTGGAATTACATATATTGACTTGTAATACCCTAATAAACTTGTTATCTATATAAATTATATCAAACCTAACTATAATGGAAATTGGCTATATAAAAATGATTAAATAGCTGTTATATTAGGAGGTTGTTCTCTGGTTTAATTTTTAAAAAAATAGCAAACAGAAAAAGCTCAAGAAATGTAATTCAACATGAGACTTTGGCAATTACCTCAATGTCACTTGATCTTGAACCTTGACCTTTACTCTTTAAGGCTTGCAAGATGGACTTTATAAGAGACGCAGAACCAACAAAATCAGACTTGGCTTTGACTCTGGAACTCTGAGTAAATGTAGGAAAGCCGAAGTCTCAACCTGGTGTTGGCTTTGTCTTTTGCTTGATAAAGACTTCCCCTCTTCCAGGTCTTTATATCTGTGTCCACCCTCCCTCTTTACTCCTTGATGCTTGAACTTTAGGTGTCTTTTGTCTCGGTTTATGCTTGGATTCTAGCTAACAAGTTGGTTCAAACTGGGGGGTGCTTGCCAGCTACTGTGGACTGCTTTAGATTTTCTGAGATAAAAAAATAAACACATTTAATTAGGCAATATTAATCTCATAACATATGCTCCTGAATACATATGTATAAGCACATGTATGTAGTATATTCACACGCACACAGTAAAATAAAGGATATTGAACATAAGCAAATCCTCTTGGGCGGCGAGTGTAGAAGTCAAGTGGAATGTAAACGTCTACTATAGGGCCATATCGACCAAATTCACGGCGCAAGTCCTCAGGCCTGAAGTGTTTTAGAAATAAGGCAAAGAAATATGAATAGCTAGATTAAAATATTTTGCCTACAGAAATCCAGTTGAAACCTTCAAAAGAAAGAACACTATCTAGACCAGAATTATCTAAAATTGTCTCTTGTAAGAATCACCCAAGGTTTTGAAAGGAAGAGAGGAAAAAAAGAGTCTTAAGCCTCTCTCTTAGAGATTCTGATTCAGGAAATCTGGATTAGGGACTGGAAATCTGTATGTCTGCAAGTACTCCAGGGAGTTGTTATGGTTAGTCAATTTCCAGAAACACGGACCCAGCACATCCACCCAACACATCTACCTTATTACCATTACAAGACTTAATAATTAACTGTTTCATTAAGAACACATTCATTTGCCTCATTATAATTTTATGTTTATGTTAATCTTGTTTTCAGATAGCAAAAATTAGATTCTAAAGAAGTCCTAGAATTACTTCTTAGGCTTTAAAAAAAAATGCATGTTTTCCCATTAAACATAAAGCAAAATAACTATAGTATTTTCAAATTTGACAATTATTTTGAGCCTGCTATATGCCTTCTACTGTGAGGAAGAACCTATGCCTCCTATGCAGAGGAAATACCGCTGCTAAAAAAAATACATAGCATATTTGCCTTCATGGAGCTACAATTTAAATGAAGAGACAAAATATTTAGCAGTAAAACAGTTACAGTACATTTATATATTATTATATATTAGCCACTGTTCATCCTAAGACCACTTAATTCTTACAATAACCCTACAGTTGTCTACAGATGAGGACACAGATAGATTAACCTTTCTAAGGTTACTGAGCCAGCAAGTGACAGAGCTGGAACCAAACTTCCACCGTCTGACACTGGTCTGTATTCTTAACTGCCTCATGGAGAAACCTTAGGGAATCAGCATCGATCTGTGAGCACAAAACGTGGCTCAAGAGAAATAAGAACACAATACTTCAGAACATACTGTACAGAGAAAAGACTCAAAGATGACTGACTGCAAACCTTCTTAGGCAAACGGAAGAAAGTGTCAGTGACAAAACTCAGATAGTTAGAAAAGAGAGGGGAGGGAGAAGAGAAGCAAAAGAAGCACCTTTTGGGTTTAGAATTTGAGGTGATAGTAGAACATCCATGAGTCCTGTAAGCAACTGAAAATTGTGATTATACAAATTATATTCACTTTATTTTTTCTCAAGACTAGAAGTCAGTGATTAAGCCATGGGAATTTAGGAATTATTATGTAAAGATTCAACTGACATTCACTAAGCATCCACTGTATGCCAGGCAGCACAGTCAATAAATACTGTGACATACTTTATTTCGTTTAATACTCACTATAACATGTTTACCTTCCTTGATAGTTTTAGTTTTATTTATTTATTTTTTTAAGACAGAGTCTTGCTCTGTTGTCTGGGCTAGAGTGCCATGGCATCATCCTAGCTCACAGCAATGTCAGACTCCTGGGCTTAAGCAATCCTTCTGCCTCAGCCTCCCGAGTAGCTAGGACTACAGGCATGCACCACCATGCCCAGCTAATTTTTTCTATATATTTTTAGTTGTCCAGCTAATTTCTTTCTATTTTTAGTAGAGACGGGGGTCTCACTCTTGCTCAGGCTGGTCTTGAACTCCTGACCTTGAGTGATCCTCCCACCTCCCAGAGTGCTAGGATTACAGGTGTGAGCCACCACACCCAGCCCTAGAGTTTTAGTTTTAAAGGACAGAGACAATGTCTTTTTTGTTTCACCTATTCATTCAACAAGTACTTATTGAGTACCTACTATGTACCAGGCCCTAGGGATATGGTGAGGAACAAGAAAAATACAATTCCTGCTCCCATAGAACACAGACTATTGGGTAAAGATTCTCAGCCATTCCTAAATATTGGAATCATCTATGAATGGGATGTTACAGAAACAGACACCTCAGCCTGATGCATTAACTATGGATCTAATTAGTGTTTCCCAGAGTAAAGCTCAGTTGGGCTTAATTTTTTAAGGGTTTCATAGGCAAGACTAAAGATTGAGAATCACTGCTAAAGCAGGTATTTTTAGCATCATATCTCTGTATCCAGTGTAGCTGCTGGGCACACAGTAAGCACTCAATATATATTTGCCTATCTATCAGTGAAGAACACATTACTGTTACCATTTAAGAGTTAAGGAGACTGAAGGTACAGAAGTTATCTTGCCCAGAGGTATACACAGCCAGTAGCAAAGTTAGAATTCAAATGAAGGTCTTCTGAGCCAACTAATCCCATCAACCAAATTGTGGTAGCTAAGAGAAAAAGGATCCTAGATAATATAAAGAAGGAGGCTGGAGCAATGTGTGTTACAGAGGCTTGGAGTCCTGGAAGCCAAGGGTGATGGGAGTGTGAAGGAACAGATCTTCTCAAAAGAGCTGGTTCCCATTCAGTATCTCCAATCCCTTAGCTGTTGTTTTGTTTTCATTTATTTTTGTACTTTTGGTGTAATCTACTTCAACATTCAGAAAACTATAGAGAATAGTAAGACAAACTCCTATGCATCCACCAACAAGATTTATTTTATCTCAATACTTGCCATACTTGCCATAATTTTCAGTATTTTTTAGAAATAAGACATTATAGCCTTCTACTTTCATCATTGGTTCAATCTCTGTTAAATTAACAAAAAAGAAAAAAGAAATAATCATTGGTGTTCATCATTTTCCTACACACTTACATTTTTACTGCAAATGCATATATCCACGAAAAGATATTATACAAATTTTGCATAAATGGTACTGGATTATTTGTATCTTGCCTTTCCCCCTTTAGATTTCTCCACGTAGCTCTAGTTCACTCATTTTAACTCTGCATGATATTTTTATGAATAAACCACAATTTATTCATCCATTTTTCTGTGGATGAACATTTAAGATCTTTCCTTTTTTAAAATTTTTGTTTAAATTGCAAACTATGCTGCAGTGCACATTATGGTACATGTTCTTCCTAGAGCTCTGCTAGAGCTCTCTGGGATGTATTATTATACTAGCAAAGGAATTGGTGGGCTGAAGGATACGCCTATCTTCAGCTTCACTACATGTTCTCCAAAGTGGCCAAACCAACATATACTTCCCAAAACATGCATTACAATTCCCATTGCCACATCTCCTCATTAACATCTTTCAATTCCTGTCATTCTGAAGGATATGAAGTAAATGTAGTTTTAATTTTAACTTATCTAATGACCAATGTGTTGCAACATCTTTTCATACTTATAGGCCATTTACCTTGTTTCAACACCTAGGAGTGGAATTGCTGGATCAAAGAGGATGTATACAATTTACTTTTATACAACTGCCAAGCACTTCTACAAAGTGATTGTACTGTTCCATACTGGTTGTACCATTCAATATTCCCATCAGTAAAGTGTAAGAGTTCCATGTGGTGACAATCTTTGTTAGCACTTGGTATTGTCAGTCTTTTTAATTTTAGTCATTCGAGTGAATGTTAAGTGGGATCTCACTGTGGTTTTAAAGTGCATTTCCCTAATGACAAATGATATTGAGCACTTTTTCACACGCTAATTGGCCATTGTATACAGTAGGCCCTCCAAATCCTAAGGTTCAGCATTCTAGGATTCAACTAACCACAGACAGAAAATGTTTTTAAAAACTAAAAAAATACAATAATTCAAATAAAATATACAGTATAACAATTTACACACCATTTACATTGTATTTAATACTGTAAGTAATCTAGACATGATTTAAAGTATACAGGAGCATGTACATAGGTTATGTAAGTACTATGCCATTTTATATCAAGAACTTGAGCATCTGCAGATTTTGGTATCCCTGTGGGACACCTATGAACACCAAGGAATGACTATATTTTTTTCTTTGTGAAGTATTTGAGATTTTTGCACATTTTTAATAATAATGTTTGTCTTTTTATTGTCGAGTTGTGAAAGTTTTGGAAACAAGTCCTTTGTCACATACATGTTTTGTGAGTATTTTCTCCCAGTCTGTGGCTTGAAATTTTAATTTTGGTGAAATCTAATTTACCAATATTTTTTTTCTTTTATGGTAACTGCTTTGTCCTATAAGAAATCTTTGCTTATTCCCAGGTTAGGAAGATATCTTGTTTCTTCTAAAAGCTTTATAGTTTTATTTTTTACATTTTGATCAATGAACCAGCTCAAATTATGTGTGAGGCAGTTCATTTTTTTCCTATACAGATATCCAGGTGTTCCAGTACTATGTGTTCAAAAGCCTTTCCTTTCTCCACTGGATTGCTTTGCTGCCTCTGTCAAAAATCAATTCACTCTGTAAGTGTGGGTTATTTATGGACTCCCTGTTCTGTTCTATTGAACTATTAGTCTACTTTTAGGCTAATATCACATCATCTTGATTAATGTATTTTTTTTTTTTTTTTTTTTTGAGACAGAGTCTCACTGTGTTGCCCAGGCTAGAGTGCCGTGGCGTCAGCCTAGCTCACAGCAACCTCAAACTCCTGGGCTCAAGCGATCCTCCTGCCTCAGCCTCCCGAGTAGCTGGGACTACAGGCATGCGCCACCATGCCTGGCTAATTTTTTCTATATATTTTTAGTTGTCCAATTAATTTCTTTCTATTTTTTTTAGTAGAGATGGGGTCTCGCTCTTGCTCAGGCTGGTTTCGAACTCCTGACCTCAAACAATTCGCCCGCCTCAAACAATTCGCCCGCCTCGGCCTCCCAGAGAGCTAGGATTACAGGCGTGAGCCACCGCGCCCGGCCTAACGTATCTTTTTAGTAAGTCTTGAAGTCAGGAAGTTTACATTTTCCAGCTTCAATGTCCTTTTTCAATATTATTTTGGCTATTCTAGATCCTCAGCATATCAATATAAATTTAAAAATAACTTGTCTTTTTTTAAAAAAAGGCTTTGATCAGGATTGCCTCAAATCTATAGATTAATTTGGGAGAGAACTGATGACAATAATTTGTTTTCTAATCCATGAATATGGTATATCTATAAATTTATTTAGGTCTTTTAAACTTTTCTTGGCAATATGTTGTAGTTTTTCAGTGCAAAGGATTTTGTACACTTTTCGTTACATTTATTCCTAGTATGCTTTTTGATGCTATGATAAATGAAATTTTAAAAAAAGTGGAGGGGAGGAGGGGCAAAAAAAAAAGAAAAACAATAAATGAAATTGTTTTAAAAACTCATTGTTCCTTTGTTTGACAATCTGAAGTTGACAAGAAAGGAACATCCTATAAAAACTCATTGTTTTCAATTGTTTGCTATTACATATATAGAAATTGAGTTTTCATAAATTTATCTTGTATCCTGATAATTTACTGAAATCATTATTAGTTATGGTAGTTTTGTTGTTGTTAATTTCTTAGTGTCTTCTATGTAAACATGTCACCTAAGAATGGGGACCAGTTTTACTTCTACCTTTCCAATTTTTGTCTTTTCTTTTTTTCTTGCACTGGTTAGGACTTGCAATAAGATGTCGAATGGAGATTACAAGAGTAGGCATCCTTGTCTTATTTTTGAACTTAGAAGGAAAATATACAGTTTTTTATCATTAAGTATGATGTTAGCTATAAGTTTTTCATGTATGCCCTATATTAGGCTGAAGAAGTTCCCTTCTATTCCTAGTTCTTGTTGAGACTTTTTATCACGAATGTTGCTGAATTTTGTTTAATGCTTTTTCTACATCACCATCAAACATATAGCCTCAAATACACTGTAACCAAAGAATGCTACTAAATAGTCCAATACAGGAATGTTTAGCATCTTGATGGTTCCTCACCAACATAAGATATGCATTAAAATGGGAATACTGTACTTGAGATTTAGACATTACTTTGTTTCATTAGTATACTATATTTGACATTTAAAAAAATTATTCTAGCTCTACACAGTAAAAAAGCAAAAGTATTAATATTTTTCCTAGTGTACATCTTGTTTCACCAGTAAAAAGAAACATAACACAAATTTAACAACTTATTTTTAAAATTTCTTCAGTTACTGTGCTCAATTTCATTTCTGTCAAATTTTATGCTAATTCGCAATGTCTTTTAATGTCTTCTGCTTTACAGTATTTGTTAAAATGGCCACCTTAAAGAAACATTTTAAAGAAAAGCTGTCTTTGTTTTAAAACATCTTTATTAAATAAAATTTGAAAAATATTTGAAAATAGGAAAGAAGACAAATCAGTCAAGTCCTACCATCCAAATGAATTTCTTTCTAGACTTATTTTTTACATTTTTACTTTCTTTCATTTTTGAATACACAGTCAAGTGCTGCATAACAAACATTTCTGTCAATGATTGACCCCATATGTGACAACGGTCCCATAAGATTATAATGAAGCTGTACTATACAGGTGTACCATTTTAAAAAATCTTTTATACCATATTTTTACTGTACCTTTTCTATGTTTACATATGTTTTAATATACAAATACTTAGCAACGGGTTACAACTGCCTACATTATTCAGTACAGTAACACGCTGTACAGGTTTGTAGCCTGGGAGAAACAGGTCATACCATGTAGCCTAAATCTGGAGTAGGCTTTACAGCGTAGTAGATTTGTATTCACTGAATGACGAAATCACCTAATGACAAATTTCTCAATTTATCTCCATCATTAAGCAATATAAGAGTATAGTTGAAATCACACTACATATATAATTTTATGCCACATTTATTCTAACATTTTTATTCCAATGATTTTATAAGCATACTAAATGTTAAAGCTGATTTAAAATGTGTCTAGGTGTCAGATTGCTAGTTAACTTACCTGCATACCATCTCGTACCAAAAAGTTGTTAATACAGGTTACCTGTGATGATTATACTTTCATAACACCATACACTAGCTATGCAATCTTGGGTAAGATACTTAACCTAAACCTTGGTTTCTTATTTGTAAAATGGGGTTAATAAAGATCATATATTATAGGAATATTGAGAAAATTTAATAAGATATGTAAAATTTTTAGTACAGCACCTGGCATAGTGAATATTTAACAAATGTTAGTGATTATTACTTCATTAAGACAATATAACCTTATAGATTTTGATTGCCTGCTAGTAGCAGCACTAAAAAGTGGTGAAAAATGGAAAAGGATATCAATAAATCTTAGTTATCAGTCTCAATTACTCGGTGGATTACCTATATCAGAGGTTAGGTATCACCGGCAGATGTGTTCTGTTTGGCCTGCACAATGTTTAAACATTTTTAGAATGTGTGGAAACATGAAATTATTGAAAACATGAAATATTTTACATCTCTTAAATATATAAAAGTGTAATTTCATATGATTCAACTTAATAAATGCTAACATTTTAAAACTGAGTTTACAAACACAATATCTAGATTTCTGACTTCTCTTGAAAATTAGGAAAATGTGGCAACAAGGAGCCCAAATGCCTGCATGGCAGCTATCAGCTGGAGCTTAGTAGCAAACGCTGTTCCCTTTAGATGGCACATGTCCTTTTCCATTTGCTACAGTCCACCTCATGCTATTGTGCTTTATAATCTGACAAATTCACTCATTTATATTACTGTAGCTGGCCCCGTGACCATTAGAATTGATATTTATTTATTTATTTATTTCAGACGCATGGGAGGGGCTTCAGGTTGTTCAGTTTGCAAGTGGTCTGTTTACAGCTATGGGATTTTTTTTTCACCCTGCCCAAATCATAAATTTTGCTTGTCTTTTCTATGTACTGATAAACATGTTGAGAGAAGAAATATAAACACAGGCATCTTTTAGATGTTAACTACGATATATTAACTAATAAGTCTATAGTTGTGACATGTATGTTTGTGGCAATCAAATAAAAAATTCCTAACATTTATTTACTCCTTACAGGTAAATTATGATGCTCCACATGACTATGGAGTCAAGAGCTCCACATATTTGTACCTGTGGAGCCCCAGGTAAGTCATTAAAACTCAGCTTCAGATTTCTCTTGTGCACAAGATAATATTGCACACTTAGCAAGGTTGGAGGGGGGAGTAAATTAAGTAAGTCCAGTGAAATGAAAAGTCTACTAATGTCACCTCCCCGCGCCCCCATTAAGGGAGAAAAAAAGTGCTACACGAAGAAGCCATTCTTTAAGATCTATGTTTACACACTGTGTAAAAAGAATTCTCAAGGGGTACGGGGCGGACTTAGAGCATCAGAATCAACCAGGTTAAGTCCAACCCAACCGTTATTAATACTGTACTCAGAACTTCAAAGAAAAACGTACAGATCTCATTCCCTAAAGTTATCTTTTGTATTTAGAATACAATCGCATAAAGAACAACATTTAACCCGCACCATCTGTAGTAGATCAGAACTGCGGGAAAAGAAATTGTAAGGCCCAAGGTACGCACTATTTTACAGTACGTTCTCATCACCCTCAATTCTTCTTCATCTGGGAGGGCGGGACACGCGCTTTCACTGGGGCACCGCGGCGACAAAGGGGCTGAAACGCAGGCTCTCGCGGCGAGGGGCGGGGAGGGACCCGGGCCACGGGAAAGCGGCGGCCTGCGCTCCGCCGGCGCCGGAGCGAGGCCGGGACGGGCGGAGGGCGGAGGCGCGAGTCCCGCCCAGGCCCGGCGCAGCCCCGGGGCTCGCACACACCCCCGGGGCGGGCTCCGAGGAGACCCGCCGGGCCGGGCCCCGCTCCGCGGCGCGGCCGTTACCCGCCCCTCCCCCGCGCCCCAACCTGCAGCCGCCGCCGCTCACCTGGTGGCGTCCGCGACGTTCCTGACGAACAGGGAGGTGTTGGGGGGCCTCGTGTAGCGAGACATGACCGCTGCCTCCGTTCCCTCCGCCTCTGCCCGCGGCCGCTGGGCTCGCTCCGTCTCTCACTGCCGCCGCCGCCGCCACTGGAGCTCCGCCGGCCCCCGGCGCGACCCCCTCCCCGCGGCCGCGGCCCCGCCAGCGCGCAGCCGCAGACACCGCGCGGAGGGGGCGCTGCGCGGCGCGAGCCCGGCCGCACGGACCGCGGGCCGGGGGCGGGGCCGGCGCGGCCCGGGCTGGGGTCCCGGGGTCTGCGGGACTCGGGGAGGGCGGCGGGGTCAGCGTGTGTCCGGAGGGCGGGGACCCGAGGGGGCCTCGGGGCCGAGGCGGGGGAGCCCGGGGCTAGCGAGAATAGGGGGGAGCGTGGCGGGGCTGGGGGTGGGCGTGGGTCGGGGTGACAGCCGCGTTAAACCGCGCAGCAGCCCGGCCGCCGCTGGGGCCTTCATCGCATCATCCTCAGCCCGAGACCTTCGCTATCCCTCCTGCACCTCTAGTCTTGGACGTTAGGCTTTTAAACTGTGAGATCTTGGATTGGTTGGTTTGCTTTTTTAATGTTTGGTTTCTTCATCCGTTATTCGCTTGGGGCGTAATAGTCAGCTGCGGGTGCATTCGTGCAGATGTTTGAGTGTCTGCTACCGCCGGGCACTGTCCTAGTGCAGGATACAGCAATGAACAAACAGGCCACGTCCTTCCCCTCAGAGTTTACGTTCTAGAGAGGGAGCAGACAACAAAGAATGAACGAACGAATTCGTGATGTAGAAAAAAGGAGTCAAAATGCTGTGCCAATTAAGCAAATTTAAATTATCCTCTTCCCATTCCTCCAAAATGTTGTAGCCCGTCACTTTCTACTTACCGTCTTGTTCCTGTGGCCGGCACAACCTGTTACCCAGGGCTGGGACTATAACCAGGTAACTCAGACATACTAATAGCATCTCCTTTCACTCTCAGAAGTGTGTCTGCTTTGGGATATGAATGATGTAATCACCCTGCCTAGTCCCCAGCCTGCTCAAAGGCTGTGGAGGTTCCTGGATCTGCAGCACTTCTGGAACGGTGTCTATTCATTCATTCGAAAGGGATTGCTCTGGCACAGCAGGCACAGGGCTAGACTGGGAATGGATGGTGGGGAGGGAAGGCAAGGTGTCTGTTCTTATGGAGGTTACAATTTGGCAGGGAAACAGAATCTAATCATCTCACTGGTAAAGATACAAACAGTGATAGGGGCTGTGAGAAGAACTATGTGTGCTGAGAAGAGACCTTATGGGGGGACAGTGAGCAGGCCTAGAGGGTCACTTAACTTTTTCGAAGTCTCAAAGCCATAGCTGAGGAATGGAGAAGAGCAGCTGGTGCAGTGGAATGGCCTGTGCAAAGGCCTTGAGGCAGTATAAGGAATGAAAGGAAGCAAACAGGAGCGTGAGCTGGAGAAGAATTGGAAAATGAGGCTGGAGAGCTGGCTGGGTTTATAATCGGAAAGTTTGCAGTGCTGACTATGCCACTAGGGCTGCGGTAACAAATTAACACAAATTTGGTGGCTTAAAACAACAGAAATTTTTTCTCTTGTAGTTCTGGAGGCCAGAAATCTGAAATCAAGGTGTCTGCAGAGCCATAGAGCCATACTCCTCTGTAGATGTTTAGGGGAGAATCCTCCCTTGCTTTTTCCAGTCTCTGGTGGACCCAAGCACTCCTTTGCTGTGGCTGCATAACTCCAGTCTCCACCTCTGTCTTCACATGGCCTTCTCCTCTTTGTGTCTTCTCTTCTGTCACTTATAAGAACACTTGTCATTGGATTTAGGGCCCACCTGGTTAATCCAGAACGATCTCATCTTGAAATCCTTAATGTAATTATACCTGCAAAGACCCCTTTTCCAGATTAAGACATATATTGGGGGTTAGGATTTAGGCGTATGTTTTTGGGGACCACCATTAACCCACTACACTGACTTTGCAAAGAAAAGAAACTTAAACTGGTGGACAGAGTTACCCATTTCCTGAGATATTGTTATGTGGAGAAAAAACAATTCACTAGACTCTATGTAAACTATGAACCTATTTAGTTAAAATATATATATATGTGTGTCATATATATTTGTTTTTGAGACAGAGTCTTGCTCTGTCACCCTAGCTAGAGTGCACTTGCATCGTCATAGCTCACAGCTATGGGCTGGGCTCAAGCAATCCTCCTGCCTTAGCCTTCGGAGTAGCTGGGACTACAGGCATGCGCCACCATGCCCAGCTAATTTTTTCTATGTTTAGTAGAGACGGGGTCTCACTCTTGCTCAGGCTGGACTCACACTCCTGAGCTCAAGCAATCATCCCTCCTTGGTCTCCCAAAGTGCTAGGATTACAGGCATGAGCTACTGTAGCCAGCCTAGTTAAAAATACATTTATCTGTATGCTTATGTGTAAATAGACCAAGTAGAGATATTATACTCTAATTTTTACTTTCTTCTTCTTACCTTTTGGTACTGTCAGATTATTTTTAAAATGCTTTTTATAAATATAGGAAAAAAACTCCACAAAACTCGTTACTGTTTGAAGAAAGCTTTTGTAGGACTAGGTGAAAAGACTTAGTGTGAATGGAGAGTGGTTTTTTCCTGTTCTTACTGATGGAAGTATCTAAGGAAAAGGTGTTCAACTGTGAAAGTAGATTCAGTTAGAAACTTAAACTTTAACGGTAGATGGAATTGATATAAAATAAGTTGTGTGGCTGGGCGCGGTGGCTCAC